CCCCCCCCCGGCTCAGCCACCCAGCTGTAATTTATTGCAGCATTGTTATTTAAAGCTATTTATGGAGCTGACTGGTGTGGCGTGTGGTGATCAGCGCGGCGGTGCCAGGCACAGCGATGTCTCTCGGACGCAGCTGCGGCTGCATTAACCCTCCCTAACTGCTCCCAGCACGGCCCCAGCGTCTTTCCCCTGCAGGGTGCCACCGGCACCCCCTCGCCCCCCAAGAACAGGGGGCCACCAGGCTTGCCCAGAACGGGACTTTATTGGGTGCCTCCTCCCGGCCATGCGCAGCCCCTCGGGACGGCTGCAGGTCTGTACCTGTCTCCCGAGGTCGCAGCCGGAGCTGTGGGCACACGGGGCCCAGCCACAATAACAGCCCACCCCAAAGACGTCCTGGGGTGGAAAATCCGCCCCTGAGACCTCGCAGAGCCCTGCACCTCAGGGATGGTGGGGCCGGGTGCCCACTGTGCCGGGGAGCCCTGGGACCTCACCGCTGTGCTGGCTCGGTGTTGCCAGGCAGGTGCCCAGGCTTTGGGGGTGGCAGATTCACCCCTGGGAGGAGCAAATGGTTCACACTGCTGGGCACAGAGGTGGTGAAGCTCCATTGCGGCTCCATGGCCCAGCGCAAAGCTGCTGTCGGCGCATTTCCAGCATCCTCCTGTGTTCTGGCCGTGGGGAGCTCAGACGTAGCGGCTGGGAAGGGGGCTGTACACAGGGCCCGTGCCCGGCAGGGCTGCAGCTCCAGGGGAAGAGCCAGCAGAGCACGAAGCCTGGCCACAGGGAAGGAGAGAGGCTTGAGCCACGCTGGGGGCCCTGGCCCTGCAGACCTCCCCAGCCCCACGCACCTCACCCGAACACCTCCACAGCAGCGCCAGTTTGGGTTTCAGAGGGTGCGGCCCCTCGCGGTTCGTCTCCTTCAGCCCCCGCTTGCAGAGCTGCTCCAGGGGCGTCTCATCCGTGATGACCGAGATGACCTGGGGGCGATGGGGATGTCACTGCCAGCGCGCAGCCACCCCCGCTTGCCCTGGTGCCCCCCCAACCACCTCCGCCCCGCTAACCTGGTACTAAAACACGATGGCGATGAAGGCCCCGAAGAGAAGGGACTCCAGCAGCAGGATGATGCAGTGAGCCCTGGGAGAGCAGCCACAGGTCAGAGTGGGGCTGGAGCCAACGTGGGGCAGCCCAGAGCCTGTCCCCGCTGCGCCCAGGGTCCCGCCACAGCACCGCCACTCTGGTCCTCCCCTCCAATGCGAGCTCCTCCGCAGAGGAGGGAGACGGGACCCCTGTGCTGTCACGTCTGGATGGGGTTGTTGGCGATGTCCCCTCCTGCCGCCATCCCTGCTGGGCTCCTACCTGCCAGTCCCAGCCAGGCAGCCAGCACCAGCCCACGGCGTAGAGACCGGCCAGCCCTGGCACAGAGCGAGTGGCGAGCGTGCAGGCAGCAAGCACCCCCCTGATCCACACCATGTCCTTCAGCCCTGCCTGCTGCTGTGGGGCTGGGCACCCCGATGTCCCCCCCAGGAGCCCCTAGCCCTGTGCCTACCCCATCGCCCAGCCGCTGCCCACGGAGCCCAGCCAGGGCATCCAGGAGTGGGGCTGCCCCACGGGGAACGGGGACCCCCAAGCGACCACTCACCAGTGTGGAAGAGGAACTGGATGAAGTATTTCTGGTTTAACTCCCCGGCGCAGCTGTTGATCTTACGGACGGACAGACAGACAGGTGGCGGGGGTCTTGCCATCCCAGGCCCTCTCTCAGAGCACTCTCCGGTGCCCGGGGACCGGAACGAGCCGCGGCGGAGCCCCCTGTGCCCCGGCGAGGGGCCGTGCCAGAGGTGCCGCCGGGCAGTGGTGGTCCCTGCGGCGTACGCAGCGGTGGCAGACGTGGCAACGGTGGGCGCGGGGTGGGCGGTAGGCCGGACCGGCGGCTCTG